ACTGTGTCCAGACAGCTGGTTGCGCACCAGGTTTGAGTACGATCCGATGGTCCTAAGGGCGTTCTGGTGGTAGGCCAGGTGGCAAGTTGTCACGAAAAATATATGGGAACTGATGAATCAGTTTTGCTAGATCTTCGGGGACCACTGCGCAAAGCTTATCGATGTCGGCTGTTTGATCATCGTCTATTGATTCCTTCATATCGACGGCATACAGGTCCGCGCCTTTCTTGACCGCGCATGTCAGCGTTGATGCGTGTCGTTATCGGCTCTGCCCCTCGCTAGCATAGTAGTGTCTGCCGACCAGTCGCACACTTCACTGTGCATTTCCCTGTCGTCCAATCGATCTGCGGATTGTGTCGCCGAAGCCAATCTCGTCCCGGCAGCACATCGTAGCCGTCGAGTGTTGTCGCCAGCATCGACGCGCTGAAACCGAAGTTGTCACCACACTTCATGCGAATAGTTCGCACGTGATCACGTATCACCCGCGGGGTGGCGGCGACCAATCGAGCATCCATCTCAAGCAGACAACGCACAGCGGTTAGTTTATTTTTTTAGGCGTTGGTCGGTGAATCAAGTTGCGGCTCACGCCACCATCGATGAAGATCTTTATTTTTTGCCGTTAACCCTTCCTTCTACTAGCATAGGGTGATCCACAGGTTCATCCTCGTTATTCATCCGAGAGCGGTCGGTAGCATGTACCGGTAGCACTACTCGGTGGGGATGTTGTTTCTCGGGTGATGCAGCCGTGTCAGTAGGGGGCACGTTTGCTACTGACGGGAATCGTTTCTCGGCTTATCCCCATCGTTGTTTTTCCTCAGCTTCCAGTCAGGGCAGTCAGCATATTGATGGCCCGGCTGGTGGCAGTGAAAACACTGTTGCTTCTTGCGATCTTCGTCATTCGCCACAATGCCGTTGGTCGAGGGCCGTTGATCCTGGCCACAAAAACGATTTCCCTCCCACGATTTCGATCTCACATATTTTTTATTGGCGTCGTACAAGTTGGCGATCGCCACTGCTTCCTGGAACGTTGCTGTGCATCACATCTTTACTTAGTAACGAACGTCGGATTTGAGCCGAGTGATGAACCGGTTCTTTTTTTCGGATTCTGATAGGTCGGTGATTTGTTCGGACAGTGCCTGAAATGATGACGCGTAATCTTGGATAGAGGTCAACTAGCGCCAGGTGTCCAGCTTCGTGCGTATGTTGTCCGAGGCGGATATGGGCTCGAAACGTTCATGCAAAGCTATACACTACACTTTCCACGTGCGAATCTCCGTCGATCTGAAATTTGACGTTGCGTCCCGGGCAGCAGATTCCGAACTCCCGAAAAACGCCTGAGTGTCCACTGCCGAAGTCCCCGTCTCACTTAGCGTCGATCGCCACCAATCTTGTGGAGGTCCCCTCAGTAGTGAAATAGCGAGTTTGCTTTTTAAATCATCAACATTATTTCAGACGGCATCAAAATAATGCTCCATGGCATAAAGCCAGCCTGTCATGGTGGTGTTTTTGTCCATGGGGTTAAAACGGGGCGGCATCGGCAGCGTTATCTTGGCCATTGATACAGTTGGCGTGGCTGCGGCTACTGCAGAAACTGTTGCTATTGCTTTGGAGCGGGCGGCGGACGTTGTCACAGCTGCTGCAGCTGCCGTGGCACGTGCGGCAGCATTCGTTGTTGCTGCTGATTCATCATCACAGCGCTCCTGCGACACTTTGCGTTCGATTTCGTCCAAGACTATTTCGACACGTCCAGTGCTGGCGCAGCCTTGGGGGCGGGCGGCTCTTGTGCCTGGCGAAGTTCGGTAACTTCGGCGTAAAGATTTTCATTGTCGTCTAGCATAGCTATCAGGCGAGCCTCCGTGGCAGCGAATTTTGCCTGCAACTCGTCAAACTGTGCCTGGTCCATGTGGCGAATGCTATACTGGGTGGGCAAGGGACTATCCGTGATTACCCATGCTCAGGTAAGAGTGCAAACGCTATCATAGTCGGGCGAATTAATTCGTCTAATTCGCAGCCGACCACTTTGCAGCTCAGTGAGCGAATCATTCCCCGCCCCGAAGGATTTTTTTTTCCGCCTACGGAAGCAGGTAGGTCAAGAAAGTAGCTATGGATACCAAATGTTATGAGTGTTTAATTAGAGTAGCGCGGAATCAAATGTCGAGATTCAGATTAACAGAATGACGAAGTAAGATATAGGAACACAAGAGCAATCCTAGCCGTGTGATCGAACAGGTTCGAAGAAGGCATCCGAGGACGGGGAGCACTTCGGAGTGACGAAGAAATGGTTCGTTGCCGTGTTCGAGCCGAAGCTAGGGCAGATGTTAGTGCCGTGTGGGGTTGGTGTACGCGTTAGCGGTGTGGCGTGCTAAGGAATGAAGATTCCTTACACAGGGCATCAAATAGGGTTACCATTAAGTCTCGTTACCTGATCCGCAAGCCAACAAGCTGATCGATACAACCTCCCATAGCATGCGTATTTTCCAAAATCGATTTACGAAGAGATAGTTAGAAGGCTGCATATCCAACCCGCTACGCTAGCTACGAGTGCCCTTCAGCCTCACCAATGCCTCCGTCGCTTTATAGGTGACCACAAACCAAGTTTTCCACTTGTTATTAGAAGTGTGTGATAGTATACTTAGACGATTTACCCACTTACATAACTGATCGCGAGCACTTCTCAAGGACCTTGAAGCAATTTCCAGTTACTGCAGGAGGATCGATTGCTGACGAATGGGTCTAAGGGTGATTGTTTTGTTGACGGGTTGGATGTTTTAGTGGGCCTAAGGATGCTGCACCCGCCCAAGCGCAACTATCCAATAAACAATAAGGAGATGCTGGCGATCATGCACGCGTTCAAGGTCTAGAGCTGCTACTTTACAGGTGCATACATGATAGTACAGACTAACCACCGAGGCTTGCAATACCTTCGTGCCCATCCACTCCGCAACCCACGACAAATCATGCGGTTGGATTATATGGAATCTAGCTTCCATTATGCAGACACATACACGAAGGGGACATCCAACATCGACAACCCATTGACTCGCCCCACTACCCATCTCATTTCCATCATCCTTGCCCAAACTTCCCCGCTATTACTATAACGGGGTTATTTATCCACAGGTACCACACGAATCGGTTCTTTATGTTGGGAGATTACCGACATCTTGCAGCGGTACCGAGGGTGTTCTACATACTGTAAAGAGCAAGAAAGATCGCCTCTGGGCACCGGATTACGTAAAGGAGTTACTCATACAAGAGGCACATGATAGTACAGTTTCAAGACATTTCAGGGTAGAATAAACAAAACACAGTTGCAGCGGTATTATTATTGGCCCAACATGCTGAACGGCATTTAGCGCCATTTGACATCATGCTGGAGGTGTCAGGTTATGAGAGTCTTCCCGCTAGAGACCCCCTGGCCAGCTCCAGCAGATTCTGTTGTCAGAGCGAGCTTGACTGTCGATTGACTTCGTTACGGGGTTACATGTTAAGCCGAACTGCAACGACAGGATCATGATGGTCGTTGAAAGGCAGACCAAGATGGTGCATTTTCGTTGCGTGCAAAAAAATTATCACTACCAAAGTAGCTGCATAACTGTTCATCACCACTATCGTTCGACTACATGGAGTCCCAACTGCCATGATCTCATATTGCAACACGAAATTCACCAACAGTTTTTGGCGCCGTCTCAAGGAACAGTTCCGCACACACAGCAACAGCTACAGTTCTCATCCGCCTATCACAAAAAAACTTATGGTCAAACTGAGCAAACCTCGCAAACATAAGTTCCTGCAATGCGACAAACCTGTACTGTATCACAGTGTAACATTTTCAGGCTTTAGATTTCCAAGTGCCCTCACAACTTTTCGTACACCCACTCGCGCTGAAATTTTCGTTAAAAAAACCCACGCGAGATGTGCATAATGTCCTAACTGAACCCAATAGTTAGCCATAACTGTAAATAACACATTTTGAAAAGCCAAAACTGTAAATTGAGGCCCGGTGTAAGGAACCCCCCTTATTTTTAGCGAGCCTCGCTAACATCGAAAATCACATTCTGGAATGTTAGAACTATAAATCAAAGTCCAGGCTCGGCTCGACAACCTAGGTCCCAAACTATGTTAGAGACCCCCAAGCCTACACGCGGAGCCGCGTCCGACACTTCCGAGCCCGAGGCGTCCAAACCCCCTCACGTGTGTTTCGTGGCCCTCCTCGAGGCTCCCTTGCTAGGCTAGCTGTGCTTGTATTTAGCTCTGTGTTTCATTTGTACTCGAGACACTTTAATCACTACCTCTCTATTGCATTATTTGACTCCTATCAGGAGATTATCATAACAGCTGGTATCAGAGCTACGTTCCTGCCCATTTAGGCTTCCGTAGTGAGGTAGTTTTTGGAGGGACCTCGCACGTTAGGAGAGAGGACCTATCCAGCGGTCGTGCAGGAACTCCTTCAGTTCTGCCGACTTTGTCGTGTGTGCTCCACGTCTCTAAAGCTGCAGGTGCCCGTAGTGTCTTTAGTGGCACTAGCTACGTAGAGTGATTCATGGTTACTAGCTCTACTCGTCGTAGTACTAGAAATATGAATCCTGAGCAGATCGCTGAGCTGTTAGAGGCGGCAACGAGTGTGTCTGTGCTGACGACAATGTTCGGCGAAATGATAGCGAAAATGGAGGCCATTTCCATGGAGCTCGCCACGTTGAAAGAGGAGAACATGAGCCTTCACCAAGCGCATGATGAGATGCGCTAGGAGTCGCCTGTTACAGCGGGCGAAGACCGTGCGGCCGCGCATCAACCACATGGGGTGTCAGCAACACTTGATGATAGCACGAGCGAGGGACGGGCAATTGTGAAAATAAAACATGCCCCCACTGTTCAATCCAATGGAGAAGCACACCACACTGAGTGGGTGACTGTTTGCCATGGAGATGTTCTTCAATGTTGCCGATGTCAACGACGATGAGACACATATCAATTTGGCGGTGTCTTTATTACGCGGGCCTACATTATGTTGGTGGCGACAGTACGTGACCTAGCGAGGGACTCTAACAGGCCAGCAACAAGCAATGGATGAGGAGCAACGATTGGCTTCAACTTCAACAGGATCCTTATTCGGTGTGGCCGAGAGGCTTACCTGGCAATAGTGGGGTGCACTACTTCGCAAGCGCTTCAAGCATTTATCCGCATGCGAGAATGCTCGTGTGAAGTTGCACGGATGACGTCAAATGGGCTCTGTCCTAGAATACATGCCATCGTTCCTTGCCATCTGTGACGAAATGATGATCTACACGAGATGGAGAAAATGAGCAGATACATCCTATGACCGAAGATGGAGGTCCAGTGAGAAACTAGCATGCACCGCCCGGCGACGTTCTTGAAAGTGCAGCAGGTCGCAGAAGCGTGGGACGAGAACAAGGTATGGACCAGGGCGAATTTCTGGGAGGGAAGTCGTTTTCAAGGGCATAACATTTACCCATCCATCAACGGCTTGGCAGCACCGCCAGATAACACATTTTCTGGCATGTGTTAGCGTTGCGGCCAGCCGGGCCACATCATGCGGGACTTTCCGGTGTTGCAGAAATCGAGAGTTAACGACGAAAGGAAGCAAAATTTGGATCAAGTCAGTAGCGGTTGGGCCCCCTATTGACAAGGCTTCTCGCCTGAAGATCACCACTCCCACCGAATAGTAGTGCCGATCAACGTGATCGATCACACCTGGTTAAAGGGGAATGAACCTGTTGACTGCCCTGAGCTGGTGGAAGGGCACATTGGATGGTGGAGCAGCACATAGTATGATATAAGTGACAAGAGCGAAGGCATTGAAGCTGCAAATGGAGCGGTGCATGTCGGAGATCGACGTACAGTTGGTTGACGGCACACCACTTGCAATTCGGAAGTGGGTGAAACACGTTCGCATTGATTGTGACACCCAAGTCAGCTTCACCCTGCGGATGCTGGCGACGACGTTGGACGGCTGCGATGTGTTTCTAGGGTGCGACTGGCTATGCACGTACAATCCGAGCATCGATTGGAGGAATGGCGAATGACAATGACTGCCAAAGTGGAAACCACCCGACCCCCAGTCAACAATCGTTAACCTGGTGATGATCAAGCGTGTGATGGCGCGAGGCATGGACGTTTACGCCGTTCGATGGATCGCATCTATGGATATGGCTGAACAGACTGACCTAGTGAATATGTGTGCTGCTGTACCCGAGGACCTGGTGAAGATCATGCACAAGTACGAGAAGATATTTCCCGATGACCTCCCTCCCGGCCTACCACTTGAACGACCACATGATCATACCATCGAGTTGGAACTCGGAGCGCAACTGACCGTCTGATCCCAACAAAGGCTAAGTCATCCGGAACTACAGGAGTTGCATACTCAATTGGATTATCTGCTAGAGAAAAAAATCATCTGCCCGTCCACGTCACCCTACGCTGCCCCGATTCTCTTTACCCCCGATAAGGACGGAGGGCTTCGGATGTGTACCAATCATCGTGGGCTCAACAACATCACCATCAAATCACGCTACCCGATTCCGCAAGCCTACGATCTCATCGACCAACTTCACGGGGCAAGGATTTTCTCCAAGATTGATCTGCGAGGGGGTTACCACCAGATTCGTGTCGTCGAAGCTGATATTCCGAAGACTGCATTTCAAACATGTTACGGAAGTTACGATTATACAGTGAAACCATTTGAGTTGACGAACGCGCCCTCAACTTCAACTGACCATGAACGAAGTCTTCCACTCGCTATTGGACAAGTGCGTCATCATCTACCTCGATGATATTTTGGTGTACAACAAAGACTCAGGAGCAGCATTTGAATGACCTGGAAGCATTATTTACCCTCCACGATCAACACCAACTCATCACCAAGGGCTCTAAGTGTGAATTTTTAAAAGAGGAGCTTGAGTTCCTTGGGCAAGTTATTTCCACCGAAGGCGTTAAGATTTACCCGAAGAAAATCGACACTATTCGCAACTGGGAGCTGCCTACTAACGTCAAGGAGTTGCAGATTTTTATGGGGTTCGTCAACTATGTGCGCCATTTTATGCCCAAAATGGTAGAGTCAACTGCCCCACTAACCGACCTGCTGCAGAAGGCAGTTTTTTATGAGTGGGGGGAGAGGCAGCAAGCTGTGTTTGACCAACTGAAGACTTTCCTCATAACACCACCCGTTCTTCGTATCGCCAACTCTGAACGCCCGTACGAACTGGTTACGGACACTAGCGATATCGCCGTTGGTGCGAAAGTGTTACAGGACTCTGGCAAAGGACTTCAGCCAATCGCCCACGACTTGCAAAAACTCCAAGGTGATGAATGGAATTTTCCTATTCACGACAAGGAGATGCTCACGAGCATCAATGCCTTCAAGACCTGGCGCTGCCACAGTGACGGAAACAATAGTCAGGATGTTTTGCATCAATTAGGGGTTTTGGGCTTTTCGACTACTGTACATAAAGTCTTAATGTTTAATGGTGGTACACTTTGGGAGGGGCATATAGTGGATGCGTTCACAATGCTAAAATCCATAGAAGTACACTGGATGTAACTTAGTGCCAAAAATATATACAAAGAGTGCATCCAGACAATTGTTTCCCAGGACAAAGAGCAAACTAACGAACAGCGTTTCTGGTACCTAGTCCACCGACCCTTGGCCCTGATCACCACCCGCACCCTCCTAGGCATGTTATCTACGAGGTTAGTGCAAACCTTTGTAAGGATCTTCTTGCTCTCTTCCTAGACCCACCCTTTTGCATAATGGGGTGAGCACTAGGAAAATCGCGAAGGATTTGAGCGTATGCAATAGAATTGTGTATGATTCCTGATTGGATGTTATCTCTGATACTAGCCACACTGAGATGTGACCAAAGATGCCATTAGCCGTCCCGTATTTTCATGGGTTGACTTCGTCGTACCGCTGTAGGGTAAAACCACGAACAGAGCGGCGAAAACTACCGAATACGCCACGAAAATGAGGGTAACGTAGCACGGTCGACAGTGCACCCTTGCACTGTTAGAATCACGCTATGATCCACATGTCTCGTCACGGTGCAGCAGTCGAAGAAGTTGCGACTGTTCGGGAAGAATATCTGGGTTGAGGTCTAATGAGGAAAAGAATCACTCCAACGCAACAAGCTCATGCTCTCCAAGCCATTCCAAGCCACTTGTCCCGCCTAGGCTTGAAATGGCTTGGAGAGCCTGAGTATGTAGCACTGGAGTCACCCTCTTCCTCACCAGACCTCAACCAGGATATTTTTCCCTACCAGTTGGGGCTTCTTCGACTGCTGCACCGTAACAAGACCCGTGGATTTTAACGTGCCGCATACACCCGGATATAGCCGCATATGTGCTTATGATGGAAACCCTTGCAAAATCACATGGCCTTTAAATCGAAATATTTTTATAAGCACATGGGCTTAATAAAAGTATAATAAGGGGAAAAAAATGAAGGCACCAAACTGTAGCTCTTTGAATTTATCTTCGAATGGGCCAAACTCATATGGAGGTCGTGTCGATGGATTTTGTAGAATCGGCTCAGGAATGTCCCACGAGCAAATCCTTGCTGGAATCTAGCCAATTAGAGCCAAAATCGAGTGAATTGACTGAGCGCAAGTTGCGCGCATGTCTCGCGAGGATCTTGGGAGGGGTGTGAGAGGTATGGCATGACAAAATCGTATTTTGCTCGTTTTTTTTCTATAAGTGTAATGTGTTAAGACTAGAAAGAAATGGAAGTGTAATGTGTTAAGACGAGAAAGAAATGGTTAGAAGAATGGAGAACATGGGAGATATAGAGTTTGGGTTGTACCCACTAAGAACATACCCTATCTAGCCTATAACTTCTACATAACAATATATGTGTAAGTTGACATAATGCACTTATAATAAATGCATCCTTAAAAAATGGTGCGCTTATAATGAAATTAACTGATATAAGCGCATTCGCACTGCATAAGCCCATGGGCTTAATAAATGGTTGCGCTTATAACCGGGTGTATATGGTGATTCTATTAGTGAAATGGTGCACAGTCGACCGTGCTAAGTTACCCTAAGTTTCGTGGCGGATACGCTTGTTTTCGGCACTCTGTTCGTAATTCTACCTTGCAACAGTACGACGAAAACGATCCATGATAATACGTGACCAATCGACTTATGACATCTTTGGCCACACCGTAGCGTGGCTCGTCTGAGAGATAACATTCAATGCGAAATCGTGCACCTTTCTTTTGCATACGCTCAGATCCTTCGCAATTTTCCTTGTGCTCACCCCCTTATGCAAAAGGGTGAGTCCAGGAAGAGTGTGGGAAGATCCCTGCAAAAGTTGCACTAACCTCGTAGATAACATGCCTAGGAGGGTGCGGGTGGTGATCAAGGCCAAGGTTCCGTGGAGTAGGTACTAGAAACACTGTTCGAAAGTTTGCTCTATTTCCTGGGAAACAATTGTTTTGATGTTCTCTTTGGATAACTTTTGCAGTATGAGTTAGATCTGACTCGCAAGTTTTATGTACAATGGTCCTAAAGCCTAAAAGCCCTAATTAGTGCCAAACATCCAGACTTTTTTTTTCTCCCACTGTACCTATCAGGTGCCGACGTCACTGTCCGCACAAACCACAAGTCCTTACAGTTCCTCCGAGCCCAACCGACCCTCAATCCACGTCAGATTCGTTGGCTCGAATACCTTTAGTCCAGCTTCCATTGGCGCATCACCTACAAAAAGGGGGCAAATAGTATTGCCGACGCCCTTTCCTGCCCTACTGCCCATACAGCCGCCGTACTAATCACCCAAGCTAATTCGCTGAGAAATAGACCATTTACCCGCGGATATACTAATGACCCACTCTTCACCGCTAATCGCCATGAGGCGCTAACCACTCAATGAGGCCACTGCCACCTAAAAGCTGGTATGAATCAAATTTGGGCTCCATCATACCGAGTATTGCAGGAATGACTGATACAGGAGGTTCATGACGCTAATTGCTCATGACATTTTGGGGTTGATAAAACCTTGTAAATGCTCAACGCCATTATTACTGGCCGAATATAAGCCATCATGTACAGCAATACGTAACATCATGCCCAACCTGCAAACTCATGAAATCCTCTCGCCAAAAGCCAGTTGGATAACTGCAACCATTAGAATTGCCCACAAAGCCATGGACACACGTGTAAATGGACTTCGTGACAGGATTGTCGGTTGGTGCATCCCAAAATTATGTTGTACTCGTGGTCATTGATAGACTCACGAAAATGACTCATTTTGCACCCTGCCGAACAACGATCAGAGCCGAGCAAACTGCCAAGCTGTTCATGTGAACCGTCGTTCGCCTACACGGAATCCCGAAGGCGATCGTGAGCGATCGTGACCCCAAAATTACGTCCAACTTCTGGAAAAAAATGTGGGAATAGTATGGTACACGTCTCCATCTGTCCATGGTCTACCACCCACAGATCGACGGCCAGACTGAACGGACAAACCAGACCATGGAGCAACTGATACGGACAACCTATACCGAGTTCGCATATAATAACGCTCCTTCGTCCACGACTGCGCAATCTCCGTTCCACCTGAATTACAGTCTAAACCCCACGACTCCCACTACACCCTTAGTTGAGAGCCTCGCCCTATAGTCACAATTGTTTGTCAGGGACTTATAGACTGCACAGCAAAACGGAACTGAGGCTATTTCAAAAGCGAACCTTACTACGTGGCGGTACGCTGACAAGCATAGGCGGGATTTACCCTTGTCCCCTGGTCAATTAGTGGTGGAAACTCAGCCACTGACCACTAAGTTAAAAGGGCTTGTTAATAGCAGGTCAGTGCGCCCATAGCCCCCTAGGCTCTGCACCTGTGGCCCTTCCCCAAGGATCTTCTCAGTGGTAACCCCAGCGGGTCACTCGACACCCTCCCTCGCTGGGACAGGTGGAAGCAGGGTCTCAGATTCGTTTTGGGGCACGTTGATCGCTCAGGGTCCCCCCCCCCCCTTGCCTCACTGTTTTTTCAGGCCTTGCAAAGAAACTTACGCTGATCAATCAGGGTGTTGTAAAAATTTTGCACTGAAAAAACAAAGTTACCTACAAAAAACACACTGTTCAACTAAATGGCCATTATTACTATCTTTTTTAAAGACAAGGGTTAACAATTTAACATGGGCATACTAGGACCTACTTAAGCATCCTCCTCTGCCTGCACGCTGTCGTGGACTACAGGGGAATCGTCCTCCTTCTCTTTCCCCTTCCTACTCTTCTGGGCTCTGCACTGTGGGGCAGTGCTGTAGGGCTTCCTCTTCTTGTAGGCTCTCCAGATGTCAATGATGGCATCCCTGTCCGGATCGTAGTCTAGCAGGCTCATACACATCAAGTCTCCAAGGCGTGAGTCCTTCATGCTGCCCCGCAGCCAGCTCTTAATCACATTCTGGTGGGAGAACCCTCGTTCACATTCCATTGTGCTAAGGGGAAGAACTGCCATAGCGCACCACAGCTTGACGAGATTGGGGAAGCTATCCTCCCAGTCTGGAGACTTCAGCATGGTTGTCAAGCCGGTGTAGAAACCCTTGTCACCCTTTGGCAGGGCGGCAAGGACGGGGCAGAAATGGGGGATCTCCAGCACAGCCGCTTGCTTGTTGATGCCTGCCAGTACGGGAAGGGTAGGAGGGAGAACGAGGAGAGTGTTAGTACAGTAGGGTAGAGCGGACCACTTCAACAAATCGTGCAAGCCTTGGGGTTAAAGACAGGTGAGATACCTGGAAGAATTTCTTCGGCTTCCCCTGCATGGTAGAGGTCGACCATCATCCCGAACCACTCCAGACATTGGGCCTTCCGTGGAGCACGTTCCCACCCCTTCGGCCATTGGTCCGCACAGAACAGCATCAAACCACCCAGCTGCTTCAAGTCCCCCAGCCGCTCGTCCAGGTTCTGCACCATGCCTTCGGCCAGCGCCATGCACGCCATGACACAATCGTCGTGCTTGCCCTCACCCGGGTAGCCATCCAATGGCTCCTCATGCAGGTCGAAGGTGAATCGACTCGGGCGCCCATCGAAGTCGACACCCTCAACAGTGACGCTGCTCGTACCACCAGGACCGTGACGGGCGAGGAAGGCCGTGAGCAGGTCTTTCGGGCCCCCGTTGAAGTCGTTGCCGCAGTCGACATAGCGGCTTTCGAGGAGGGACGTCACGCGGGAGACCGACGCGTGAATCGTTGACATGTCCAGCTGCGGGAAGGGGTTTGAGAATACAGGTAAGACAACAATGGTTTGTCAGTAGCGGTTTACGAGCACCATGTGATGAAACTTACCTCGCGACTCTAGAAAGTCTTGTTGAGAATGTTCATCTGCTCAAGAACATCAGCAAGAAACATGAGCACAAACCAAAACCTGTAGCTCGTGACAATCTTGTAAAGACGGTCGTCGGCAAACTCGGACAGCATGACGTCATGGTGAAAATCTCATCCTTAGTGGTTTATAAGGATGGAAGGTAAGAATAAGAAGCTATAAAAATGGCGAGGCCATCCAACGTGGTGAGGCCATCCGACGGCTGGTGAAGGTCTTGCCAGCTGTCCGAGTTTGCCGACAGCATGACGTCATGGTGAAAATCTCGTCCTTAGTGGCTTATAAGGATCTCGTCCCTAGTGGTTTATAAGGATCTCTGGTGGAAATCTCGTCCTTAGTGGTTTATAAGGATGGAAGGTAAGAATAAGAAGCTTAAAAGTCTGAAGGAATTTAGGCATTAGGAGCTCATGTACGTCCCGTATCCGGCCTCGGGGAAGTTCTTGAACTTCCGCGAGGGAAGGTGGTTGGTGATCATGACCCATGTGTCCATGGCTTTGT